AGCTAACTGGGGAAACTTGACTCTTGAGTAAGATTAGATGCTCCTAAAGAATTACTATTAATTTTATCATGCCGGGTGTGATAACGGCCTGGATGAGGTAACTGCCAGGAGGTCTCTGGCTCCGGTGATTGTAAGAGAAGCAGTAATGGAAGTGTAGTAGTGGGGTGTGGGTTGAAGCTGGGTTGGCCAGTTCTCAGAGTTCTGAATCTGGTTGATGGGTAAATGAAGGTCCACTGGGCTGTTCTATTTTTGTGTAGATTTTAAGATTTTCATGATGTAAGAATAAAGTGGCTAGTGAAGCTCTATGTCTGAACCTGAAATTTTTGTCCACAAGACACTGCTAAGTGAAAAGAGAAAAATCCCAAAGTGTTCCTATGGCATCACCACAGTTTCGGATTAAAAGACAGGCGCGGCACGGATTTTCACATGCAGAAAAGGGTGGAGACACTCACGGGAATGTCAGTGGAGCCTATTTCTGGGAGGCAGGATTTGAATAATTTCTATCTTCTTCATACTTCTCAGTAGTTTCTGACTTTTTTCTTGCATTAAGCACATGTTATTTTTATGTGCATAAAGCAAGGCAGAGTTCCTAGAGCACGTCTGGAAGCCACCTCCCAAGCACCAATCCCGACTGCAGCCCACGCCTAGGCATTCCCGTGTCTCCCTCCACGCACGAGAATTGGCTTGGTGAATGCAGCGCTAAACGGGGTGCCGGCGATCAGAGAGGTTGTGTGCCTTGCCGACGGACACACAGCAGCTATTCTACTGTCACGCCTTTGCTGGGAAGCCGGTGCTGTCTCCACTAAACGCCTGCTGTCCTGGCTGCTCCCCTGCTCTGAGAGGCTCAGGCAGGTGCCTCTGCCCCAGGAACCAACCCCGTCTCTGGCACTCTGGTCTCCTGCTCCGCCCGACTCTGCTCTGGTGTCACCCTCTTCTGCCCTGCACCCATTAGGTAATGACTTTGACGAAAATGCATGTTCTCCTCATGTCACAGGAGAATAAGACCCTCAGTGGGACGGCAGGGCTGAGTGCCCAAACCTGGCTCCGCCATGGAAAATCTGCAGCCCCAAGAAACGCCCCTTACTGTCTTCTCTGTCTCTTACGTAAATAAAGGAGACATTAAAACAAGGGGACCCGTTTCGGGTGCAGACGACCTGCAGCTGGGCTGGAAATGCATTCTGCAGGTTTTGCTGGCGGGGCCTCCACCCCACAGGCTTCAGCCGCCTCCCGTCAGTGTGACGTCTCTTACCTGGTCTGCTCGCCTTCCGCTCTCACTGCACCCCTGATGCCCCGCTAAGGCAGGGATCCAGGTGACTCACTCCTGCTAAAGCCTTTTAATCGCTTCCCACTCCTTCTGGAAAAAATCCAACTCCTCTGCTCTGTGTACAAAGAGCTGCACACTCTCGCTTTTTCCTTCTCGCCAAACCTCTTGCCTGCTGCACCCGATTGGGAGAAAGTAGGAGCTCTCTCCACCTCTGACGGGCCACCCAGCTCCTCACTACACTGTAGACTCACCCCCGCCCCGTGGTCCAGTTGCGTGCCTCAGGGCCTTTGCACAAGCGGGTCCTGTGTCTGGCCTGCCTGTCCCCGTGTCCCCGCCCCCCGGTGTCTCTGAGGGCCCTGGACTCCCTCCCTGCCTGTCAGGCTTGAGTGCCGTAAGATCATCCCCGACTGCAGTGGGGACCCTGCATAGGGATGGACCCAGGAATGGGGTGTGGGGCAACGGCTTCTCTCGCCCTCTCCGGGATGGCTCTGTCTTCCTCCTGGGGACTTGGGCTAGTGCCATTCTCAGTTCCTGTTCTGGGTGTCACAGACTTTGTCCTTTGTACCACCCCAGTTTGGGATAGGGAATGCTTAGTTTTCAATATTCCATTTTTCAAAAGACATTTTAGCTCCACTGTGGATGGGTTTTACACAGACCCTCTACCTGTCTCCTCTCTGGAGGCGATCTCGACACGCCACCCCAGGGCAGCTCTGGGGGTGGGGGGGTCCGTGTCAGGGTGAACCCCTTGGTCCAGGCTCACCACCTCTGAACAGGGGACCCAGCCACAGAGAGATGCCGACAGGAAATTGGGTGGGGGACATGCCCGTGTCGGGGAGGCATCGTGTGTGAAGTGGGGAGCCGGTTGGCCTCCCACTTACTTCCTCGCCTGGGCTTCCCTGTGCCCCTCGTGGGTGAACTCGGGCTCCATCGGGGGCAGCCAAAGTCAGCGAGATGTGTCACCCGGCCAGGGCGAGACCTCAGGAGGCCAGGCCTGCCTCGTCACCCTCGCAGGAGGGGGAAACCGGAGCCCCCCGGCAGAACCCACCTTGCAGTCCCAGATCCTTGCGCCTCTGGGGTCCCCGGGGCTTAGAGGGCCCAAATGTATCTTCCATCCTCTGCGGACTGAAGGGGCTTCCAGCGCAGGACTGGGGCCGGTCACGCTGGCCTCCGCGTGCTCCAGGGCCTGTGTGAGCGCCGGGGCTGGGGGCCCTCCAGCCTCCGGGAGGCTTCCAGAGCGTCCGACTTCACACGCCACCCCTTCCTGCACACCCGCGGTGCTGTCGGGCTGCGCTGCACCCCAACTCTTTGTCCCACCACGCTGTAAGCTCCCGAGGGCAGGGACTTTGGTTTACACACGAGTCTCCGGTTCTGGCAGTGGGGAGCGCACCACGTGCTCACGTGGACAACGAGCAGATCTGCGGGAGGTTTGTGGATGTCTGCTCACGGGGAAGGGCCCCCCGGGAAGCCCAGGACCTGACAGCCTCTTGCTAGGTTCCCAAAATGGAGCTGTGCACGAGGTAGAAAAGCTTGGTGCGTGTCCTCCACGGGCTTCTGGTGCCGTTGCCATAAAACCCAAGCTCCTCCCAGCGAGGGCCCTGCCCACCTCACCTCCGTCTGCATTCCTGGCACATCCGGACCGTGTCCCCACTGCCCTGAGCGCCGCGACGCCCCAAGCTTCCCGTCTCAAGGCCTGCACTTTCTTTCCTTGCAGTCCGGCCAGCTCTTGCCCCCGAGGGTCACATGGCTGTCAGCCATCAGCTCAAACGTTGCTTCTCCTCCGCGATGGCCCTGCCAGCCCTGCCCGGCTGCACCGCCCGCCACCACTGGTCACACTCCGTTTCATTGTCCACGCCGCGATGGGCATTGTCCGCAGTTACTCGCTCACTACCGGAGCAGGCCAGTGGGGGGTCTCCACTCAGTGGGCTCTGCACCCAGCCGGTCTTGCTCCCCCTAGTTGCTTCATCCCCTCCCGCTCCACAGGGCAGGCGGCAGGTCACGGCACCTCCAGGGCTCCTGGCTCAGGCCGGGCGGTGCAGGAGTCCCAGCCCTGGCTCAGAGTGCGTCTGCCGGAGGGGAGGGAGGCAGGAGCAGGCCTTCTCTCCCTCCATCTGGGGAGCCCTGGAGCAGAGGGAGGAGTATGGGGTTCTGCCCCCCTGGCAGGCCCGCTCTTGGCTTGTCCACCCGCTCCATCCCTGGCTATCAGAGGGCCATCTCCTGTTGCTGGCGTCACCTCTGCCCTGCCAGCAGGACAGGCCCCCTCTTTCCCTCTTTTCTGTGGGAGGCAGTGGGTTCCTGGGCCCAGCACCGGTCTGGGGAGCCAGTGGCCTCCTTTGCGGATCCTGACAGCAGCGGTGGAGGCTCGTGTGGGACAGAGGCGGGGACCCCTGCTGACTGCCGAGGCTTCCCTCGGCACCGCGAGCTCCCCGAGGACACCCCGGCCCTGTCTCGGCGCTGGTTCCCACAGCTCTGCCAGTGTCCAGCGCGGGACTCGGGCGGGGGGGCACCTCTTGGCTGTATCCTCAGTCTCAGGAGTGCCGTGGGGTCCTTTTGCTTGTTCTGGGGGTGAAGCAGGAGAGGAAGGGAAGCCACGCTGGCAACACCCCACCCATTGCACCCTCCTCTCCACTCCCAGCTCTTATCTAAGCGGGGAGGGGACTATTTGCCTATTTGTGTTTTCGATTTTTGTTCTTTAGGAAGCAGGCTCCTCAGCACTGCCAGGGCTTGAGGGCCTCACACCACACACTGCCCCCGGGGCGGCTCACCCTCTCCCCACTCTGCCCTGGGGGAGGACAGAGGAGAGGCAGGGCGTGAGCTGGGCGCTGCGTCCGTCCGTGGTCCTGGCTCGGCACCCCCTGGCTAAGTGACTTTGGTCTGGATCCCTGCAGAAGTGTGTGTGAGACAACAGCGTGACAATAAATGAGCTAACGTTTGTGACCACCCAGCTGGTGGGGAGACGTGGCAGGCAGTCAGCAGCCAGGGTGACGGCGTGACCGTTCCCCACCGGCCAGGCGCGCCAGGGGCCAAGTCTGAGTGCTCTCTGCACACCCCTCACTAATGCCAAGCAGCCAGGGCCCGAGGGCTCCACAGAGCCCCCGAGATGTGGGGGTGGACGGAGCCGGGACCCTCTGGGCTCGGGGGACAGTCTGAGGGATGCCAGGCCTGGGCGCGCAGCCTTGATGGAAAAGGCAACGAGGAACCTCTGTGGGTCTTTAATCAGGGCAGTGAAGGATGGAAGTGGTGCTCTAGGAAGATTAATCTGGCAGCGGAGACAGGATGGGAAACAGTCAGGCTCAGCGTGAAGAGTGATGACTGCTGCCCGGCTCACTGAGACGCGGGTCACCGAAGCAGAGTGGCCCCGATCTTGGCTCCCGGGCAGTGGAGGGGCAGGGCCTGACGGAGGCGCCTCAGGCGGCCGGCAGAGGGCACTGTGCGACCGGTGACAGCGGTCACCTCAAGGGAGCCTGGCAGCTGGAGGGCAGGGAGCGAGGCCCAGTCAGGAGGGGAGGCCGTGAGCCCCTCAGCCAGCCTCCTCAGCCAGCGCCACACCGCCAGCGGAGCATCCCCGCGGCAGCCAAGTTAGGTTCCACGGAGGGGTCTGCTCTGTCCTTGGAAGGCCCTCAGGGGGCAGGGCCGTCTATGCTCCCAGCACGCAGCCAGCGGGGCCCAGCCCCCCACCGGGCGCCGGGGCCGCTCTGGGCCCAGGGCCCACCCTGGCCAGGAATGAAGAGGCTGCTGCTTTGCACGGTCTCATTTATTGAAAGCTGCCAGGATACACTGGAGGTCCCTTTCACCTTCTCTTGCCTCTGGGGGGTGGAGCAGCTCTGCCCAGCTGCCCCGGCCGCCGCCGGCCCTCAGACCAGCGCCTGGAACGCCTCCACCTTCTCCCGGTACAGGTGGTGGAACTGTTTGGCCAGACAGCGGAAGGGGGCTTCGTAGTTTTCCATCTCCTTCTGCAGAGGCAAGTTCATGGAGTTGGTTGGTTCGGTCATCGCCAAGGAGAGCTGCACCTGCTCGGCGCTGACCCCGGCGGGCACTTCTGGCCACGCTGCACAGCAACCTTCGCTAGGGGATGGTGACGGGGCGCGGGGCAGGACTCACTGGGAGCCCTGGGTCGCCTGCGCTGAGCCTGGGTCTGACCCTCGAGCGCCCGATGCCGGCAGGCACAGGAAGGGGTGCTCGACTGGTGGCCCTGGGGATGGCCACGGGGGCTGGCACCCCACACCTGTGGGGACAGTTAGTGCTGACCAGAGCAAGTGACAAGAGCGCCGAGGACGTGGTGGCAGGGACTGTGTGGCGGATGCCCGCAGGGGCAGCCCTGGGCCAACGACATGGGGGTGGCGTCTTGAAGCTGCAAGCAGCCCAAGACCCAGGGGACACCAACCCGCTCTCAAGGACACCTGCACCCCCACGTGGGAGGCAGCATCGGTGGCCACGTGGCCGCGGCTGGCGGTGTCAAGCGTGTGCCGGCTCCAGCTCCGGCCCATCTGGCACCAGAAAACGAGGGTGTTGGGCCGAGGGAGGGGCCGGCAGGAAGACAGAGCGCAGGCGTGCCCCGGACTTAGGGCCCAAGCCGAGGTCAGAATCGGAGAGCAGGTCAGCGCGGAGGGAGGGGGCGGTCCACGGGCACACGTGTGCGTCTTAGGGTGCCCAAGTTCTGGCGGCGGAGTTGGAGGCCATCAACGCAGTGCGAGCGGCGCTGGGCTCTCCCTCCGGTCTGCGGTGGCCGCGGCTGCCAGGAAGCGGAGGCGGGACGGGACGGGTGTCCAGCCTCGCGGCGTGGCCAGCGCATTTCTTGTATTTCCTTTTTAATTAGCGCTTTCTTAACCAGGCTGCCAGTGGTGCTTTGTCGCATCAAGTCAGGGGGGACTAGTTAACTCGCACAGTTAGTACCAAGCGCTTCTGCGCTGCCTCCTCAAGCATGATTTATGCCCCCGTCTGGAGAGCGCAGCGACAAGACACCTGAGCGCGAGGGGGCAGGCGGCCTGCGGAGACCGGAGGCCCGCACCTTCGGGGAGGGGGTTCATCCTGGGGCCGCGGGGCGCCGGGGAGCGGCACCTCCCCGCCTGAGTGCGGCCGAGGGGTGTGGGCACACCTTTCCCGCGGGCAGCGGCTCTCTGCTGGGGCGGGCTGCCTCGAAGATGACAGCCTCCACCCAGCAAAAGCTCATTAATTTGGACTTCATTAATTTAGCATTGGTGATAATTGGGCCAGAGGCGGGAGTGACATTTATCTTTGTATAGTCCCGGAATATGAGAATTAAGTGATGACAGAACGAAGGCAGTTCCGAGGGGGAATAGACTGTGCTGAGACAGCACTAGGCGTGCTGAGGGCTCGCCGCCCCAGGCTGGCGCTGGGCTCTGACTTCATTCTCGCCCTGGAGGTTTCCACGGCCCCCGCTTTACAGGTGCGGCGCTGAGTCTCCAGCAGGACAGAGAGGACGCGGCTCCGGGACCCGTCAGCTCTGTTCCTCACGGAGAGGTGCCAGCACCTGCCGTCCTGACTCCCCGCCTTTCTGAGGAAGCACCGGTGCGTGCCCTGGGAGCGTGAACAGCGGTCCCCGTCCGGTGTTGGAAAGACAACGTAGTGCCTGTAGCTGAGCGGAGTCCCAGTTCACTGTTTACTTACCAGCCCTGTGACTCTTGGAGGCCAAAGAATCAGGTCCAGAGACCACAAGGCCCAAGTTCCGACCACAGGTGCCTCAGCCCATGTGGCCTGGCATGGGAGGGGCGCTACAGCCTGGCACGTCTCCCCAAAACCCTGGGGAGAGGCGCTACGGCCAGGTGATGACCCTGTGAGCTCTGGAATGATTCTGGGCCTCCCTGCAGAGACCTGGCCCCCCCCCCCCCCACGAAGTCTTAAGCAGGCACATCTGACTGTGCGCCCTGGCGGCTGGGAATGCAGTTCCCCACTCAGAAGGGGGTTCACCAGCACTGGATGCCCCAAATCAGGATCTAGTGCACGTAAGTGCCACAACAGGTTGCTCTCAGTCCCTGTGGACGAGGGTCCTGACCCCACTGGAGGGCACTGGGGGGGACCCCGTGGGGGCGCGGTGCAGGTAAGAACAGCAGCACCCAAGGGACCGTGGACCTCCACGCTGGTCCTGGCTCCACCCCTTACTCGCCATGTGACCCTGGGCAAGTCCCTGACCTCTACACGAGGTGGGCCCAGGACAGACGGTGCCCCAACAGCGTCACCCACGGGGTCCTCGCGATCACACAGTACGCTTGTACTTCCCGCTGCTGGAGACACAGCTTCCCCAGGGCGGGCGGCTGGTCTGCTTTACTGTTATGCCCGAGTGACTCCTGCTATACTGGGACAAGACCTCGGGCTACGAATGGAAATATCGGCTGCACATCAGTGCTGCGTATGGTGGCCGAGCCATCGGGCGGGAGGTCACGAGGGGGCCACTGCGGCTCAGGCCGCTGCACTCACCACGGACGTTTCGAAACACTCCAGGCCTTGGCCCAGGGCCCACTCCCGGGCCTTCGTCGACTCCACCACACGCCTGCCAGCCAGGTCTGTCTTATTTCCCACTAACACACCTGCTCAAAAGAAGCATGGCGTTAACTGTGGCAGGCTGGGGGGACAGCTGGGAAGACAAGGCGCAAGCCCGTGAGTTTCGAGGGGTGTAAGACACCCTATGGGGAGCTGCTGACTCTGGGTGGCAAGTTTGGCTGGGACGGGGGCTCCCTGGTGGGCCCCGAGGCGCACAGCGGAGCTGGGGCCCGCTTCCCACGCCTGGCTTTGACTCGGTGCTCGGCTCCTCTGCCTGCTGGTCCCCTCCAGGCCGCGAGCGCCAAGCGGGCGGGGGCATGAGCGACGACTCCCAGCACATGGAGCAAACTTTAAAAATGGTCATTAATACTAATCTAAGGACTGGGCTCGGAGCCAGGGATGCAGAGGTAATTTAGTTCGGGCCCCGCTGCACCAGCTGCAGCTAATTTCTGAGCCTGTCTCTGGAGATCGCGTTCCCTGGTCCGTAATGAGGAGAATTTGTCGATCTCACATAGGGATGAAAAATAAACTGATTTAAAGCATTCAGAAGTGACAACAGGACCCGGCTGTTTACTTGTGACCTGCATACGGAAGAAAATGAAGAGCCTCTCCCCTGGGGTTGGCTATCTGCAAATAACAGCTCCTGCCCCCGAGACAGCACCTCCCCCTTCGGCTGTTGGAGCCGCCCCGCAGCCCTGCAGGAGGGTGTCGACATGCCCGGTCCGCCGACTCACTGAGGCACCTGTGGCAGCTAGAAGGCCTGGCCACGGCCCCCCAAAAGCCCAGGGCCCCCTGTTCGGCCCCGGCAGCCACCCCTCGTGGCCTTGCGCCATGGACATGCAGGTGTGGTTGGGAACCCGGAACGCCGGCTCGGCCTACCTGGGAGGGAGGAGCCGGGGGCCTGGGAGCGAGCCTTGTCCAGCCACTTGCCGCAGCTCTGGAAGGACTGCTCGCTGGTCACGTCGTAGACGAGGCACAAGACGTCCGGACTCTCCCACTGCGCGGGAGGGCCAGTGAGCGCCCGCCCGCAGCGGCGGCAGATGGGGCTTCCCGGGGGAGGGACGAGAGGGGCGGAGGAAACCCTTCAGGGGGCACGAGAGTGAGAAAGGGGAGCGGCACCCACAGAGGCAAACAGCTCCCAGAAGGAATGGCCAGTGGTGGGCAGGGTTGGGGGGCGGGCAGGTCTCCTGCGGGCTTGCTCTGTGCATCCCAGGGAAACCGCCCAACTTTCTGGGCTGGTCTGAATCTCCTTAGGTATCAAGGAAGCAAGTGAGGTCGGAGAGCCTACTGAACCGCGGACCCCACAGACTGAGAACCCCAGAACACACCAGCTCCGCTCTCTGCCGCAGGAGAGGCTGGCCGCCTGCTCCGGGCCTCAGCGGGCCAGGCCGGGGGTGGACACGTGACCAGCCAGCACGGGCCCAGACACGTGCCCCCTTCTGTGGGGCAGACTGTGCCACAGGAAGCACCTGGCAAACACCCTGAGGCCATACAGGAAGCCAACCCTGCGTGAAGTGACCGCCACTGGGTCTGTTTCTCTTAAGACAATGAAGGGGCAGTAAACCTCTTCCATTAATGTGGCTGATCCTGGAAATGCAGGGAAGGCTCTGGAGAGCTCCAGCCTTCTAATTAGCTCACTGGCCCACATTAGCGCGACTGTCACCCTGGAAGAGCCAGCAAATTGGATCCCAGGCAGCAGCAGGATGCAAGCAAGCCTTGGTGCATCTACAGGGGTGGGGAAGGGGAGTCTCATGGGGCCTCTCATCTGGAGAGGGAAACGCTCCACCCTCCCAGAAGGTGGAGGAGGGGTGGGGGTGGCGCCAGGGGATGCGGCCCCCAGCTCTGGCACATACAGAGGAGCACCCCCTCCCTGCCGATACGGGGCCACGAGGCCCACAGCTGGGGGCAACGCCCCTCAGAGGCCGGTGATGGGGTTTCTCCTAGTGGCAGTGAATTTCTGCGAAAACAGTGCAAGGGGGCGCGCTTTTTGGCAGGAAGCGGTGGGGGAGGCTGGGGTAAGACCCCACACTACTTGCCAGCTTATCCAGCATTTCGGAAAACAGCTCCTTGCCAGCAGAGTCGAATATGAAGAGCTCCTAGAAGCAGCAAGGCAAAGTCCCAGGAAATCGGCGAGGGGGGCCCAGGGCGGTCAGCCCCGCCTCGGCGCCGAGACGCACATTCACGCGCGTTCACGCGCACGCTCACCTCCCCGAGGCGCGAGGGAGATGACGGGCGCGCAGACAGCCGCGGCCAGCCGTGGACCGCAGCAGCACCCCACCTGCCCTAAGCCTGGGGGGGGCGTGCCAGGGAAGGCTAACAGGCCGACCCCACAGGCCACTCTGCTTTCCAGAAGGTCACTCTGCACTTTGGAAACCAGATCGACTGCCAGACCTTGCAACAATCCTGTTAAAGGTGGTCACAGAGCAGGGCCAGGGAAGGCCTTGAGGTAGGCCAGTCCGTGATGGCTCAGGCACCGCTGTGGGGTCTGCCCCTCTGGCCCCCGGCAGCCCACGGAGCCCTGCCCTCCCCCCGAGCTCCCCGGGTGCTGGGTGGCACAACATGGTCTGCACGGGGAGACTGGGCACACGCCTCCTTCCTGCTCAATGCATCAGGGGCACCTTGCTTTTGGCTCAGGGAGCTCTTTTCCAGAATCTGATGAGTCTTTAACCACTTTTCTGGGGAAGCACAAAAAAATATATAGTACCCTACAATTCAATATCCAGAGTCACGGATTCCCCAGAGGGACCAGCGGAAGACCCTGGGGATTAGGTCAGTTCTGGAGGACAAGGGCCACATCCCTGGCCTCCTCTTCCTCAGCCCCTCCCTGGAATGTTCCATGCCCACATCGAGGTCAAGCTCTGCCACTGCTTTTCTCCTGGGGACCAGACACACTGGCCCTCGAGTCAAGGGCCCCACTTACCACACTGTCCCCCGTGTCAGGGACTGGCACCGTCTTCACCACCAAATCCACCCCTGTTGTCTGTTGAGAAAAACCAAGAACATTCGTGTCAGGATACCCAGGTGCGTTCCGTGGGACGAGATGAACCCCAAGTGCCCGAGAGGCGCCTGAGCAGTGCCAGCCCAAGAGTCTGGGTTCTGGACTCACTTTGGTGCAGTCAGAGGGGATCCCTGGCCCCGTCCACCCCCCGCCCATGTGAAACCTGTACGTGGTGGCCAAGTCGCCCACCAGCCAGTCTGCTCCCCAGGCCCTGTGCTCGTGGGAAGAACATCACCACTGGCCCTTTCAGGCAGCGCTAGTCAGACCTCTTCCCGCTTCTTAAAAAAGCCTGGAAAGCCACTCCCTGGGGGCCATCTCGTCCCATCTCACCAGGGTGTAGTTCTTCTGGAAGTGGGCTCCGTCGGTGCGGAAGAGCTGCGCCAGGGCCGTCTTGCCCACTGCGGGGTCTCCTGTGAGGCCGGAGCAGGACAGACATCAGGACAAACACCACTTCTGCCCTGGCCCTGCCGGACACTGTCCAGGACACCCTAGGAGAGGGGTCACACCAACGTGTGCTGTGCAACAGGCCCAGGAGACTTCTCTGCAACCCCCAGCGGGGCCAGAGCCCTCTCTGTGGGGCTTGTCTTTCCATGCAGAAGAATGAACCCCGAAGGGGAGCAGCTTACAGAGGGTTCAGAGCCCTGAAGTAGGACCGACGCCCCACTCCGACGCAGCGGCGCTTCAGCGGAGTCAGGCCAGACAGACTCGTGACTCACCCTGCTAACCGGACCGTTCTGAGCACGGCAGTTCCACGGAGGCCCAGCACATCTGGGGGGCTGGGGTGCCGTTGGGAGGGGTCCTGCCTATATGGGAGGGCAGAAGCCCACTGCTGCGCTCACCATCCTGAAGTCCATTCCCCAGGGATCTATCCCACCTTCACCTGGGGGTGCCCATGGGCGGCAGTGCACCCTTCCTCCCGATTCTACCTGCAGCAGCTCAGCTCCCCCCAACCAGACTGCCCTCCAGGGCTCTGCTTAGTGGCAGCCGGGGCCACGGGTCCCTGGAGACTGAGCTGATGTCAGCGTTGACCCGAGGTGGGAAACTCACCACGCTGGGAGCAGCGGGACCTGGAGTTCCTCCTGGGCCCCGAGGACCCCGGGGGCCTTGGTGCCCGTCCTGGGCGCCCCGAGCCCTTCCCTCCCCTGCCAGCCCGTACCCCGCAGAGCCTGCTTCCTCCTCCTCTTCCCGCTGTGCCCAGAGCCGGCCCCTGCCGGCTCGCGCCTTCCGATTCGTGGCCTCGACGGCTCTTCACCTGTTCTACTGTCAGCTTCAGTGCGTCTCCTGCCTTGACCCTGCTCACCTGCTGTTCTGTTCATTTCTCAAGCTTTGACTTTCCCCACCTATAATTTCCACCCGGGAGACAATTACTTGACTACTTGTGGCATTTCATGTTAACTCCTCCAGGTTTGAGCTTTTTAGTCGCCAACTGCTTCTCAAAGGAAACCAGTGTGTGTGAGTCTCCCCAGAGAGCCCACTCACTCTCCCTCCCAACCCTCAACCCCCACGACCACCAGTAACGTCATCGGACAGGAGAGACCGAGGCTCAGAGGCTGGGTAACCCGGCGAGGACGCCGATGCGCGCCGATGCCGCCACTCTCCAGCGGACCCCTGCGCCCCCAGCTCAGTACTGCTCCTGGCCCACTTCGGGCGCTGTTCCGTGGGCTCCTGTGACTGCACCCCCATGACCCTAGGGGCAGCCGTGGGTGGACGGTCACCGGGCACCCACCCGGCTGGGAACAAACAGGCCACCGCACTCCCCTCCTGCCCCTGGCTGATCTGCCCTCCCGATTCCAATTTTGCTTCTGAATCCAGTTGGAAATTGGCTCTCCCCGCTTGCGAGATCCCCTGCAGATTTTTTCTGGCTAATTTCATAAGCCTTTGCTCCTGGTGTCAGCCAGAGGCACCCACACTTATGGAAAGCCTCCCGCGTGGCTGTGGAGGGATCTGAGCATGGGAGGGAAACAGCTGATAAACACATCCGCACAGCAGCGAGATGACGAGCACAAGTTCAATCAGTGTGAGCTGAGCGGGAGCGTGGAGGAGGGTGCAGAGCTGGTCGTGGGCTGATTGCCCAGAGGCGAGGCTGAGCCTGGGGGAGACTAGGCTGGGGTCCTGCTTGACAGAGGGCGACCTGTTGGGTTTCCCCAAAGCAAATCTGCCTGGTTCCTGCTGGACAAAGCTCAGTGGCCGCCCCCCGCAGCTTCTGAAGGGCGCCATCCCCTCTTGTCTACCTGTGCGGCTACTGAGGCTCGTGGCTGGTGGGGCGGGGCTGGATGTCAAGCAGCCCTCCAGGAGGCAGAGGATGAGAGCTCCTGGGGGACAGCTCGCTCTAACGGGCTGTGTGGCCAAAGGGCAGCTCGTCTCTCAGGCCTCAACTGCCACATCTGCAAAATGGGCATGAAAGCAGCAGCCTCAAGAGCTGAGAGGATTTAAAGCCTTCACACATACAGTGCCTGGCATGTGCAGAGTGATACTGATGCCAGTAAATGGAGATGCATGTCCAGTGCTCGTTTCATCTCAGCCGGGGCCGGCAGCTGAGTCTGGAGGACTGCTCCGGTGTCTGGCACATGATGAGCGTCCAGTGTGCATCTGCAGCCTGACAGCTGCGAGACACATGGCTGCCCTGGGGGAGGGCCTGCCCAACCCCCCGTACCTGGGCATGCATACGTGGCTGGGCAGGCAGGTGCCCCACAGACATCCACCGAGTGACTAAACACGGGTTGAAGACCTCGACCCTCAGTGACCAATATGTGTATGACAAAAAAAAGATTAATTAGGTGTCCCCAGTAGGCCTGTGGGAGAAAGGTGATACAAAACCAGTGAGGGGTGGAAGAGTGAGAGTGTCTGCTGGGTGGTGGCCGGGAGGCTGATTCACGAGGCTGAGGTCGTAGGGTGAAACCTGTCAGAAACCTCCAAGAGGAGATTCACTTGAGGTCTTGAAAGGGGGTACGGGCTGAGGGCTCTGCTGTCCAGGGGTCACGTCCTCAGACAGTGCTGGAGTCAGGAGAAGCCAGGGGGTGGGTGGAAAGCAAGGCAAAGGTCTGGAGTCCAGCTTGGGGCCAAGAACAGCACCAGAAGCCAGCTCTCCTCGGTCTGGCTCTTAGCTCTGCCACATTCCCTCAGGTTGTGGTGAGGGGCTGCAAGTTCCTGACCTCTCTGGGCTGCTCTGGCTAGAAACAATGACAGCAATACCACCCCACAGGGGGCTGTGAGAACGCGGCTCAAGCTGTGCTGAGGGTGTGACACAGAGCCTTTTCTGTGATGGAAGTTAAGTTAAAAAACAAGAGAAGGAACAGTCAGAGAAAGAAGTCAACAACAAAAAATGCTCATTGCAGAAAATATTAAATTGTTCCCACCCTATCTGAGGAAACTGAGGCTCGGAAGGTCCAAGGTGACAGTCTGTGAGACCAGCCAGATTCACTTCCCTTACACAATGCTGCCCCCCCTGGCACTCTGGGAACTACAGATCTCTCCTGAGAACCACTCATTACTTTTGATTTGATAGTCTTATCCCAATCTCCTTTCTGTGTGACCCTTTTATTTCCAAATTTAAAAAAGTCATTAAAAATATATCTATTTTCAGTCTGGAAGAGAGGAATAAAAAAAAAGAAAAAGGAATCTCTTTTTTCCCTTTATGTAATTTCTTACTGCTTTTCTAAGCTGGTTCAGGAACCTGGAAAGGTCACAGGTTTTGACAATAACACAAGTGGCTTTAGAGATGAACAGATCTGGGGGTTCAATTCCTGTTGGTGACCTTCCCACCCAGGGGGACCTCACCTCTCAGTGCTTCCGGGGGATCAGAGATTACAGCACCTCCCCCAGTGTGCTTCGTGACCTGATTCAATGACATCCATGCGTCCGGCACGCGGGGAGGGCCCAGGGTCCTAAATGTGTGTGTCTCCTGCGGGCCCAGGTCTACAATCAGGTATGAGTCATTTTATATGTACAGACTGATGCAGAGAGGGCACTGCAAACGTCACCATTCACGCGACAAATATTTATTGAGCACCTACTACGTTCTGATGTATCAGTCAGATTCCTGCCTTTGGGGGCTCCCCCTCATGTCCCAGAGCCTGGCGCAGCACTGTAACTCTGGGGGTGTAAAGACCACCACCCTGCCGCCTGCAAGCTCTGGGCCTGGTGCTCTGTCCCTGTTTCCAAAGTGAAATCCCTTAAGCAAAGACTATCCCTACCTCTGGGGTCCCACTTCTGGTGCACTGAGCCTGCTTTTCCAGGCGTGGGCTCCCCCTGAGTAGGACGTCCTGGTGCAGGGGTTTCTGAGCATGGAAAAGATGTGTATGTGTTGGCGGCGGGGGGGGGGGGGGGGGAGTCAGCTGAATCCAACAATGTGTTCTGGGGTTCTGGAAGGTTAATTCTTCCATACCTAGTGGAATTTACTCTATCGTAATTTGATTAACTCGCCTTTGGGGGACAGAAAGGGAGAGAGGGTGGAGAAAATTACGCCAACAAACTTCTCGAGGACTTTGGAGGCCTCTGGACCTGGAAGCTGGGTTTCAAGTGCTCAGACTCACCTGCCAGGATGCATTTGGCTGCCAGCTTCACCATGGTAACCAACCACTTCCACGAACCAGAGTGGGGAAGAGCCGCGGCCAGAGGCGTGAGTGGCCTGCTTCGGGAGTGGGGGGCCGAGGGGGGTGACGCTCAAGGGGCTCGTGGCCGCGGTGGGGTCGGGACAGACGCGGCCAGGATCCTCGGGGCTGTGCTGGGGGCGGGGGCGCCGGGGGTGCAGGGCAACACCCGGCTCAAGGCTTAGAAGGCAGCCTGGAATAAGACTCGGGAGACGACGCGCCTCCCGTTCCCTGTCCAGCCTCAAGGTGCAGCCCCCGGTCGCGGGGACCTGGAAGAGAGACCCTGTTCCCCGCGACCAAAGCACCAAGCCAGACGCGTCCGCCGGGCAACCATTGCCCGCTAGCCCCGCCTCCGCGCCGTCACTGGCCCTCGATTGGCTGCCAGCACAAGCTCCCGCCCCGAGGCTGTCGGGGAAACCACTGGCAAGAGGGGGCGTGGCTAATGCTCCTTCGTTGGAGACTATTCGCAGTGATATTTGCTCTTCAAGCTATTCCACTTGGCGAACGGCTGCATAAGATGTCAATCATCGTACCAAGGCAAGGGCGTGCCAATCGCTTGCAGCAGGAGGCGGCGATAAAAGAATCCTTCTGATTGGCTAGAGGCTGGCTTGGCCCCTCCTGGGCGGCTGGGGATTCACTGCAGCCCCCGGGTCCTTCAGGAACTGGGTTCATCCACGAGGGGCCGCTCGAGCCCGCGGGAATCTGGGGCTGCGCCTGCGCCGAGGGCGAGGCCGCTGCTGCGGGCGTGAGGCGTTCGCTTGGCTTCCGGGTGTCCCCGCCGCTTTTCTAGTCCCAACCCCACGGAGCGCGGCTGTCTGGTGCACCGAGACGCCCAGTCCCTGCTCCACCCCCTGCAGGGAAAACTCCTCTTTAAAGGTGGGGGGTTATGCACTTTAAACTGTAAATGCGTATGTGTAAAGTGATGTCTAGGAACAAAAGGGATTAAACTTGGAGGAGCAGCGGTTGGGCTCGGGAAGTTGTTCTTTCCTCAGCCTGCCGTCACCACCGGCACCTCTCACCTGGACGTCTTGCCGGAGGAGGTTAAATCAGATTGATGCCCAAGGCCACATAGGTAGTGTCCGGCAGGGCGGGGCTGGAGTGTGTCCACTCCCTAGCCCCTGACAGGGCCACGAATCCCTCTCATCCTTTGTGGCCCAGAGAGCGAATATTTACTGGGTTCCTTGCAGTAACAACTCTCCTGTTGAGCATGAAGTGCCAGCCAGCACTTACCATCCTCCAGCTGTTTGAGGCAGCACCTCCGGGAAAAGGGAATCATCGTTACTTCAATGTAACAGGCAAGGAAACTGAGGTCCAGAGAGAGCCCAAGTGTGGGTGACAGCTCAGCTAGAATCAGAACACCCCCCCCCCCAACTCAGGTCTTCTCTCTTGGAACAATGTGGTTCCCCCACTCCCATTACCTGTTGAAGTCTTTCTGGTTTCATTGACGAATTTTTCTTGAGCGCCCACCTGGCCCAGGTCCGGCTGCTGGGACCACTAGATGGACATGCCAGAGCCCCAGGCTGCTTGCTCAGGTCACGGTTGTGACTGGGTCTGACTTTTCCAGAGGAGTCTGGATTTGGAATTTTTGTGTGAAATCTGCGCATGCTCAAATTTTGGGCAATGAATTTAGGATTTCAAATACAACAGCCTCAACAGAACACCTCTGTTGACTGGTTCAGCCTGTGAGCTGCCTGCTTGTGACCTCCATTTGAGAAAGGAAGACAAATGTGTGGGAAAATCATTGAATTTGCAGGTGCAGGAACCTGAGGAACACTCCTGACTCTGGATAGATGGGATGGATAGTCTGGAGGGAGAACCTTAAAGAATGGGTAGGAATGGACGAGGTTGTCACGGGGGAGAGGATTTCATGGGTAAGCACGGAGCTGTGGTCTGGATCCAGCGTTTGGTGTGGTGTGAGTGGAGGTCTCAGATAGGTCTGGCCAAGGTAACCCTGACCTAAGCATTCTGCCAGTGTTACAGCCGAATGGCAAAAGAACATGAGGCCACCTGTGAGGAATTCAACAAATAGTTGAGTGTTCGCTCAGCACCATGGACAGAGCCACTGCTGTCCCATTCTCAGGAACAGCCAGAGCTGTAAAGAGGCAGATGATTAAGCCGTGGTGCTCTATGCTTGTGGCAAGTGTGGAACAGCAAAAGACTTGTGCCTTAAGGAAAAAGGGACCTTGCACTGTGGCCCCTTGACAGTAGCATCGGCATCACCTGGACACTTGTTGGAAATGTAGATTCCCAAGTCCCACCTCAGAACAGCTGAGCATGGAGGGTGGGACCCACACTATCTTTTCAGAAGACTTCCTGGTGATTCAGGGGCATGCCCACATTTGAGCACCACTGCTCTTTGGTAAGACCACGATGCACCTTTATTTACTGTCTGGTTATTTCACTGTTTCTCAAACTTCCCAAGACCATTCCTACCTCAGGACGTTTGCACTTGACTATTCTCTCCATGGCTGTGTTGAGGGCTTTTCATTCATGCCCTGCAGATCTCTGATCAAATGTCACCTACTGCCCCCCCAAACACCCGACTTAAAGAATCTCCCCCAATCTGTCAGCCTCAATCTCCTTGTTTGGCTTTACTTTATTCATAGCACTCATCACTACCCGATGTGATACCCCATAATTATTTATTTGGTAGTATCTGTCCTTCCACTGGGAGGCAAACTTATTTACCTGTTGGGTAAGTAAGAGGCATTAAGGGGGATCCAGGGGGAAGGTCTTGAGAGCTACTTGGCATGAATTTTCAAGAATATATTTCATACATAAGTGGACTTGCTCTAATCCCCTCATGTTAAAGGGCAAAATGAGAGGGCCCGTACATTTGAGAGATTTCATGCCCATAGATGATGGCTTGTCACTTTGGCTCTACTGACATTTTGAGCAGGATGATTCTTTGGGGGGAGGCACAGTTCTGTGTATTATAGGATGGTTGGCAGCATCCCTGGTCTCTCCCTACTAGGTGTTAGAATCTTGACTCTTGTGAAAACCTGCAGTATCACCCAAGGCCTGTGAAGGGGGGCAGAGAGAGAGAGCGAGAGAGAGCGA